GACGTCAAGAGAAATGCTGAAAGAGTATAGACAAGATAACGACGAAGAGGAGCCAGTGATTAACAGACAAGATTTGGAGGGGTTTAAATAAAGGGAGTTTGCGGAGGTCAATAGATTTAACGTCTTGATTTAAAACAGCTTCAGCTAAGGAGGAGCAAAAGAAGAAAGGAAAATAATGTCGGCATACATAAGAAATGTGATGGTAACGAGAGTAGAGGGTAGACCAGAGATGAAGAGAATGAATAACAAGGGGGCAAGGACAGACCTCGGGGGAGACCGGAAGGAACGAGACGAGAAGAAAGAGATGGAAGAAGATACGTGCTGAGAACATTTAACAAGAAAGGAGCGGAGAAGGGAGAGAACGGAGAAAGAAAGATCATGATGATGGAACTTGAGCAATTCATGATCGACAGTATTGAAGATTTTTAAAAAATCGAGAGCAATTATAGGCGCCGTTAGGAAACCGGAGTCAAAGTCACGAAGAATAAAAGCAGACAAATATAATAGCTCTGTGGTTGTGCTATACAGAAGCCGGATTGACAGTCCGGTATGCATTTTATGGAGTTAACATAAACATTCAATTGCTTGAAACAGATTTGCTCGAGAAATCTGGAGAGGAAGGAAGGAAAGGATGAAGCGAAAAGACAAAGGTAAAAAAGGGTGGCGCATTTTAAGAATGGGGAACACTATAGTTTGTTTTCAGTGGGTAGGAAAAATATTAAAGATAAAAGAGAAATTGAGGGACTGTGTAGGAGAGGATTAAAGCATTGAGGGAGGCAGTGTAGGAGCAAACGATCGGAAAGGTCATACGGATCAGCGAATGTGAGCTTAATGTGCTTGAGGATGTTGAAAAGTTTTGTAGCGGTAATGGGAGTAAAGGTAAATGTTTCGAGAAAGAAGGAAGAAAAAAGGAAAGGAGAAGGAGAATGTGTGAGAGAGAGAGAGAGAGAGAGAGAGAGAGAGAGAGAAAATAAAATTGATCTAAACTGGATCTCGTGCACACGAGAAATTTGGCGAGTAGTATTAGTCCATACACTTATACAATTGACACACTAGTGATGTTTATCTCAATTACTATAGAAACCTACTATAATACTGAAATTTTATTATAGTTGGTGCTGCACTCTTCGGTTCGTTAAGTTTAAAACGGGAATTTATTAAAATAAGAGGAAGTCATATTGAATATATTTGTAATTTCGACTAAATCTCTTTTGTTTTAATAAATACAATCAATTAAATCTTGTGTTATGCAAAATTATTTATTATTTAAACATATACTTTATATTTAAATAAAAGTTTACTTCTACTCCAATGTTTTTTTTTAAATGATTAGTTTTTCTAAAAAAATCTAGAAAAAATTTAGAAATATTTTTTTAGTGTAAAAATCAGTAATTAAAAATACCTATCAGCTTTCAAGTTTTGATGATTAAGAAGTTCATAAGTAAAACGTCTTTGGTTCTCTAATGTATAATACAATATAATATCAAGATCATATCATTTAATATTAGAACTGTGGCTATGCATTTTTTACCTATCTGATTTTCTTTTCCAGTTAATTTGGCACATGGATTAGATTTTTGTGACTTTTCATAAATAATCATAATTAATTACAAGTAACTTTACTTTCATGATAACAACCCTCCCTCATAAAAAGCTAGATTTATCTTGAATCGTAATTAGATTAATTTACATTCGTTCATGTATTAAAAAAATCTTTACCCAACATAAAAAATAATTATTACAAATTATCGAAAGAACAATAATAAATTATTTTAAAAAAACGTTTTTCAAAACGTCTTAACTTTAAAGTCAAATATCTTGGCACAGATCTATTACAAAAAAATTTAGAAATTTGTAGGATCAAATTTAGAAATTTGTGTCATTTTTCGTTTAATCTGCATGTTTATGAAAAATTGCCCTTTTTTTATATACATATAGAAAAGAGAACTGATAAAGAAACTTTTACGACCTTAAAATAAGATATTAACGGAATATTGGCAATTTCCGAGCTATCTATTAATGGATTCCTCTCAGAGAATCGTATCATTAATCAGTTTTTCAAACCCTTAACTTGAAATATTAATTGCTTCTTTATATCAATTATTGATAACTAGATTCTTGCCAAAATAATTCATCAAAAACAATGATGAAATTAAACAAAATATACGTAAGACTACGTAACGTCATGTAATATATGCAGAGATTCTCAAACTTCTTATTCAACAAGTTTCGCAACATGCACAAAACCAAGATATGATGTAAAATATACAGGAAATTATAGACGACATGCAAAATAATCTTATGTCAGATATAGTTCAACATATAGACTTGTGTATATTTAGACATAAAATCATTCCTTTTTTTTATCCCTTAACATCTATTAATCTCTCCAATTAATCTTTTTTCGTACCTAATCACATGTTAATACGTTCTGTCTGTTAATATTATTTTCTTTTTTATGGCTTATTCACTTCTGTATTCATCACTACCGAGCCCTCAGACTTCCTTCTTACATTCATACAGCGCGAGATATACACATGTGTCAAATAATCATCGTTCTCATGGATTGTCGTTACTCACATTCTTCCTTCGTGATGACCATTTTCTCTATGAACATTCGGTTCTATCGATTATTGTTTACACCAAAATCTGTAATTTCCGTCTGGACTTGAACGATCGACTTAACAAGAAGGCGATCGTCTTAGAAAAGAATCGAAGAACGACAAGTGAACAGTGAATACGTGCTGATTCTAATGACTTCGTAACAGAGGGAACTGCTCCGTTGGTTTGGAAACCTCGATGATGGTCTTCGGAAACCTGGCACTAGACCAACGAGAGGCTGGCTGGACGTTATATTTAGTAGCGTCCGAGAACGACGGGTCCGATGGACGGGTAGGGGTGCCGCCGATTCGAAATCGCATTCATGTCGGACTAGTTATTGTATCTTGAATTGCGATGCTTTACGGAACGCCCAACAAGTGAGTGAATATTGTTACATGCTTTCCAATTTAAAATGTTAAAATGTTTGACTTTTTTTTTAATATTCTTTTTTTTTTTAATATTCAAAATCTTTCTCAAATATTATAAGTTAACGGACAATATCTAATATAATATTTCAATATACATATATACGTAGATACTTTGAAAAGTTTGATAAAAAAATAAGTAAAACGCATTTTTAAAAAATCAGTTTTACTTTTCAACATAGTCACTTTTTAGAAATGCACATTTTGTATGTGAATGAACTTTATCCAACTCGACTAAACAAACTTTTAATTTCGCATAATGACGAAAAATAGTTGCTCAAAATATATTTCATAGTCCAAGTAATTCTGCAACAATTTCTTTCTCGTGTATACAGACTCCATTTTGTACTAGACTGTCGAGCCGGCTGAGGCACAGGAAAAATTTGAAACACTGCCAGATGAAATTGATTGAATACTTGGCTTTTGAAGTTTATCAGTTTTTGGTGATACTGCATGTAATATCAAATCAAGATGCAATTGACTATTAAATGTAAATTAACTATATATCCACATCCTGTTCAGTAAGACCTGCTTTGCAGAAACTGCTTTGAGAAATAGGATCCTTTAGCTGCACAATGCGACATACAGATTTCAAAATAATTGTAGATTCAATCTTTCCTCCCCTGATTCAATTCGATAATTAAGCGCATCAATCCTCAGTAATATTTTGCATAAATAGTTCATTTTAGATTTTCATCCAATTTCTCCTCAAAATTAATTTTCTATTAGTATATAGTGTATTTAACAGTGCTGATAATAACAAAAATATAAATATCATTATTTAAGATTTAACATTTAAGAAACTTGCAATTGCCTGTAACTTTATCATAGAGCAATATCCAGTTTGTTTACATCCCGATTAACCACAGATTGTAATGAATGATTTATTGCGTTAGGATATTAGTTCATCGAATCACAAAATTTGTTGCACTTTTTTCTCTCTTCAGCGCCTATGGATATGTTCCAAAATTCATTACTAGCGCTAAAAATCTACGTTACGTGTATAGTCTATATATTTGTCTCATTTTAAGTGCAAAAATTTATGGAAATTTCAAGCAATACGAACAAATCTATAGATGCAACCAGTACAACTCACTGAACGCCTAAATAATCAAGTGTGATTGGTTCTTGCTTTTAAATGCAAGCAATCACATTCAGCCGTTTTACTTTATTTAAGCCTCTCATTAATTTCATTGTTAGTGTACGAGTGTTACCAGAAGACATGGTAGTCTCAATGCTAAGATACATAAAAAATAAATTTCTTATTTTTTCTTCGGTTTTAGATATTTATTTCTATAAGAAAAAACTGAAAAAAATAAGTTTTTTTATAGAAAAAATGGAAAAGAAGTGTCTAAAAAAATGAGAAAAGCGAATCGCTCTCATGCTTGTGATATGAGGTATGTACATATATATTTTATGTAATGCATTTACTGAATTTAATATGATAAATCTAATCCGTGTATTCTGTGCTTTGGATATAAATCCCGTCCGCTATAAATGTCAAACAGGTAGCTCGAGGTAGGATATCAAGCTGAACAAAGCATAGAGCAGAGCACATACATTTTGCTCCATTCTTTATCCCTATACATTTATGTATTACCAAATAATCATTAAACTTTTTGCTTTTCTTATAGTAATTATTTTATGTGAGTTATGATACATGGCGATGAAACACTATTTACGACATTGACGAATCGATTCAATTGACAACAGTTTTATTAATATTAACAGTAAAAAAATCATAATACCAATAAATAACATAAAAACATACATAATAGACTAATTGTGTGTAAATTACTCCCACTCCTTCTATTCTTCTGTAACGTATCTTCGCGCAGCGTAATATCAGAGTAACTCTATTATACGAATTCTATTTTCATTTATTTGTGATCATATAAAATATTGAAAAAATATTATAATGATACTTTTTCGAACATTTAATTTGAAATTGATGTGATAATTAATGGACGATAAGTAAATGTATGATTGTTTTAAATGTAAATGTGTGCCTCTTTTCGTATTGAACGAAATTGAATAAAGAGAAATGTATTAACGCGTTCTCATTCATCAGCTGAAAAACGAATATTGAAAACGAACAATTCATTCAAATTGTGCATACGTTGTCGTTCATCAGCGGAAAATCAAGGATTGGAAACGAGCAAGTATTGGAATCTCTTCAAAAATATTCACACGCATACTTGTGTATATTAGTCATCCTTCGCCATATACTGCGTGTGTTTGAGAGTGCAAGAAATGGGCAAGAAGGGGCTAAAATGATCAATATGAGGTGTAAAAACGGTTAAAAATTTTTATAAGAAATAAGTTGAGCGACTTAGCACTTTTACCGTTGTGAATATGTGGCGTTACACTAAGCAAACATGTCGCCTGTCACGAAACATAAGCTGTGTATTGACCTTACTTCGTATTTATTAAACATGTGAGTTGTTTCTTTGTTAATACTATAAATGTCATTTTCTTTAAATAATCTTACAGGCACAAGAGACTGAAACTTAAACCTATTAACAAAGTTTTCGAGCATTTTTTATAAATAAAATTTAATCTAACTCACATCTAACCGCTATCTCAGAATTTAATGCAATTTTGTAACAATAAGTTGTTTTACATGAAATTTATGGAATTAATTTGATTTTGTAACAATAAGTTGTTTTACATGAAATTTATGGAATTAATTTGATTTAATAGAATATTGTTATTACGCTATATATATATATATATATATATATAGCGTAATAACAATATTCTATTAAATTATACAATATTTTTTTCGTGTATATATATATACCATATATATATATATACACGAAAAAAATTCTTAAGGATCATTTAACATAATTTCGATATTATGAATCGCTCTTGAAATCAATTTTAGATTATTGGATATTTTAAATATAAACTGTAATACGTGCTGGAGGTAAACATCTATAACTAATCAATCTATTGTACATTATTATCCTACAAACGCAAAAAAAAAATACTTCTGTTTTCTTACCTTTTGGATTCAGTCTTTCAGGATTAAACCATGCGTCTGTAAATAATACAAATAGAATATTAGTGTCGTATTTCACTCTAACGTAGGTCTGTCTAATTTGAGCTCCGGAACTAAAACACAAAGCCATTGAAAAAAAATCGCAAAAAAATCAATACGGTAAGATTTCGGAGACTGTAAAAAATATGAGTAAGATTTTATGAACTTTAAAGCGTTGATAAGCGTCGTTCAGACACGTTTCATGAAACCTTACATTGAATTTTTTTTGCGTTTTGGCTCCGAAGCTTAAATTGAACAGGCCTACTCTAACATATAAAATGCAAATTGCTACAGATTAAGTTTCAGATTTTTAATAACTGGAGATGTTTAGTTGCAAAATCTTAAGTAATAGAATTGGAACTTTTTGTAATACATAAAGCCTTCTTAATCAAATAAATTTTAAACCATTTCCAATTATTTTATTTTACAATATTAAATACAATATTTTTCAAGACCGTAATAATGTGTCAATTTAATTTGTGATATTACTGTTCTAGTTTTGTTAGGACTGCGTTTTAAGACTAAAAATTAAATTCGACGCGCAATTTGTAAGATTGGATATGTTATAGTATATAAATTCATACAAGATTATTTAAGCACTAAAGATCCAACAATTGATCATTTAGAATTTTTATTTCTGATTTATTTTATTCCCTTTAAGTAAGCATTTATTTATTAATCAACGTTTACAGAAGATATTCTTATCAATAATCATTATTTTTCTTTTACTTCATTTGATCAAAAAATAAATTTTAATGGAATTTTATACTCAATCAATATAATCTTAAAAAAAAAATAGGCATGTGAAGTTTGAAAGAGATTTTGATGAAGTGCAAAAATATGTAAGACAAGAATCATTTACATGCACTTGAAGCTATACAAACATTATAAATCAATTCTGTTAATAGAAGCTCTCAGAATAGAATCGTAGAAAGAAAATGATACTAATCATAAAAATGTATTCAACACAATGTCAATGAATGCAACGAAGATTGTATTTCTTTCTTCACATTCTATCATTTCTAATATTCAAGAGTGTGCAAATTATTATTTGTAAAAATTGATTATTAATTTCTCTATGAAAGAGATATCGTTCATTGCAAAAAAAAAACAAATAAAATTCATTACACGAAATAGACAATTAAAGAATTAAGAAATGTAAAAGATCATAATTTATCCCAGACGCGACATGTTCTTCTTTGAGCTTATTTTTCAGGTTACGCTTCTATTAATAATTATATAATAAATCGATACGGATAAGAGATTGTTACCCTATAGTAAAATAATTGCCTCGCTCTAAAGGCTATCAAAACATTGTAAAGTGATTCGAAAAAGAATAAATTTTATTATTAATTTGTCAAATATTAAATATTTCGCTTTTTAAATATTTCGTTAATAATAAAAAATGTGTTTTTTAATAATCTATTGCCATTTATGAAAACTTACTACATTATATCAAAAGTCTATAGATTTGCTAATATTAGACATGAGCTACGAGTTACTCATTCAACGAGTCATCACAATTCTTTACTTGAAACCATTCTCGTTATTTTACTCCATAGACAAAAGATGGACGAAGTAAGTACACAACACAAAAAAAGATCAAAGAATCAATATCCTTTCATCGTTTATGTATACGTTTTTCCTTCATATTGTAAGATTAGTATTATGCAGCTTAAAAACATATGATTTAAATATGAGTTCTTTAAAAAATTCCTTTTGTTATTCATGTCATCTATAAATACTAATAAATTTACAGCAAATTTTACAGTGTAGAAAATGTATATTTAAAAAAATATATTTAAAAGTATCGCCAAATATATTATATTTATAGCCTGTAAAGCAACACAGAAAAAAAGATTTTCTCTGCCGCAGCTAATCTTGATTTGTTATAATATATTTGCTGCCGTAATTATAAATTAATAAACTACAGAAATGGTTTGCTATTGCTGTTATAAAATAGATATCAACATTAATATAAAACATTAGCTATGATACCTATATTTTATTTATAGCTATCCATATTTGACACCTGCCATTTAGTGTGCCTGTATGTTACCACATACAGTTTTTAGCTACTTTCTTTTTTCCGTAAATGTGATATGATATCAAATAAAAAAAATTAATTAAGTAATTCTGCAGCACTAAACCTTAATCAACAGCAGCATTAGAAGAGTGCTCTATTATTACATCGAATATTAATGTAGTAAGATGGCAGATAATGAATCGTGCGTTAGATGAAAATGCGCAAGATGTATAGTGCTCAATAATGAAACGTCAACATGATTTCCTTCAATGTCACATATGTCCAAGACTTTATATATGGCGTGGGAAATAATCTCAAAACTACACGCCAGTAAATTATAAGCACGCGCACAAATCCCGGAGAAACAAGCTTCGGCAATCGATCGTATGTGCACTGCGCAATATGACTCCTGATGCCTTGAAACCGCAACACGTTATAAGTATTTTTACTTTTGACTTTGGAATCAAATGAATCATTTTTCCACGAGTGATAAAAAAATCGACAAAGCTAAGCTTTACAGTATAAACTTGGAAAGGAAACTATGTAGACACCACTAGTAAACGTCGTCTTTGTAATATACTATATCTATTCTAATGTATTACATATGCATACATGGATATGCACAGCATTTGCGTATCATTAACCTTGTACAGCGCGTTATCTAGTATTTCAGTACAGTTATCGCTATTTGCAAAATTATCTTTTATTTTCTTGTTAATTTTTCCTTAAATTATTAAACGCTCACGAGTATGTACAAATAATTTTTTACAAAAAATCCTGTCTTAATAAAATAATTATATTAATTAGAAATAGTATTAAAATACAAAACAAGAGAGTTAAGTTCGATAATATAATAAAAAAGATGAGATTCTTTGTAAAAAAAAATGATATATTTATAATAATATTTCTTTAAAGAATATATCAAGTTATTAATAAGTATTTTCTTTGCGAAGGTACAGAGATAGGATACAAGAATAGATAGACTAACTGAATAAAATTATCATCTTCCCGTCATGTTAATCCAATAAAAGTAACGATAATTTAGTTATGCAATTTACTCTTAATAATCAGTTGTCATTGTTATAGTCTAAAGCTGATGGGATGACTTTGGCATAAAGTTCGAAAGTCGATTGTATGCATCACGTCGTCACGATTGGATCTCGTGGCGTTATGTAATTCAAGGTCACGATGATAATTATTTCAAATTACAAGAAATCATAACGCGTACCGTGCTGGCGTACTGCGAAATCAGAATGTCACCCACTCGTCGGACAAAGGTGAATTATAAAATTACAGTGAATTATATCGATATACAGTGAATAATAATAATAATAATATGAATCATAAGGTAAGTAATCTCGATATTTTATAAAAAATTTTTTATACAATATAAAACTTCTGATATTCGTGAAAAAATTAATAAGCATAGTGATGTAAATACACGACACGTCATATTTAAAAGTCTTACAAATATTTATAATTTATAATTTATTAAAATGTAATACAACATTTATTTCGGAAGAAAAGATTCAATTAAGTCAATGATAATCTAAGCTCCAGATGCATTTTCCTATTTTAAATCATTACAACTCAAGTCCTGATTAAAATGTTTAGATAGTGAGTGGTCTTTAGGGATAACAAAAATTGCTTCTACGGAATTCTAATCAGTGATAAGATAGGATGTCTAGGAAAAAGATAAAAATTGAAGGTAAAGGTAAGAAAACTAAAAAAAGTGATCTCAGCTTTTTAACTGACAAATATTCAACTAATAAAAAAAATAAAGTTCCTCCTTATTATTCAAAATAAAATGTTCACGATTGCTTTTTTGTTTAAAACAATGATTAGCATCATCTCTAAAGCCTGTTTTATATTGAATCTACCTGCTGTGATTCATAAATCGAAATCAAATCGATATCGGTTGATTTTTCAGACTGTTTGATTTGATATCAACTACATTTTCTATTGATCTTTGAAGAATATTTTATTAACGCTGCATTGAAAAGATCGATGTTTTATCAACGCTGCATCCATAAAATGTCGATCTTCTTTCGAAAATTAATAGAAAATCTAGTAAATATCAAACAATCCTAAAAATCAATCGACTGGACTCAAATGGACTTGTGAACCCGCATGCTCACTTTAGGTTGAATTCATGAGGTTCGTTTTTACCGGAGTTTAGATGGAGTAAGAAAATTCTTATAAGCCTATTCTTCAAGCTGTAAGTCATAAGAAACTGGCCAATCACAGTTGAACATGAAAAAAATAATCGACTATGATTGATTAATTTCTTACGGCTTACAGCTTGCGACCTTATTGAAGAACAGGCTTGTAAGAATTTTCTTACGGGTACTCCATCTACGGTACGAACGAACTTCATGGGTTCAACTTAAAATGAACAGGTATGACAATATAAATGTGAATGTGATAAAGATTTTGCATAAATGTTATTTGCAGGTAGTCGACCAATCGATAACCTAGTTTCGATTGAAGATTCTCCGATATCAGGCAGGTAGCATCTGCGCAGGGCGAAACTCGGGTCACCGACATGAAAGCGCCGAAGGATTAAAATTACCTGCTATCCAAGTTCGTTTACTTCTCGCTGAGAAGTCACCGCAAAAGCTATGAAAAAGCTTGCTAAGTTTATCCCAAATCGCTCGGGGATAGACAGAATATAATAAGAAAAGGATACGTGTACATATAGTTCCTACGAGTTACTTATTTAACAGGTGGAGCTCCGAATTTATCGAGTACCCCGAAGAGAAGTAACCTAGGTAAAACACGGAGTCATAATTTAGATTAAACAAAATGATATCACAGGCAGTCATTATGATGTCATTTGATACTTAAAAATTGACTCATAAGTTGACGAATGAAGTGATGATAATGTCCTCATGATATTCTTATGATTTCTATGTTCTATTTGGGAAAGAAGAAAAGAAACGAAAAAAAGAATCATCTTTTCGGAGAGGTAGAGTCTTCTATAAGGTAGAGTATCGAAAGAATCTTACGGGGATTCAGAATGTTCCAGAAACACGGATTGCTGTTGGTCATCGATGCGGAGTTGGCGTCGGCGCCGGATCGCTTGCAAACCTCATTGCCTTCGTCAACGTTCTTAGTGATCGCGGGATACGTCGCTGCGTCCAAATCCGCCATTCTTACGCACACTTGATCAACGTCCTTGCGCGACGCGCACTTCCCTCACTGTTTGTATTTGTCGATCGCTACCGTCCACCAGTACGAAATGTTCTTTCCTGCGTGTCAGCGCGCCTGGCGAACGTTCGTAGAAATAATGGCGTATCTTGTCGCGCGCGCGCGTACTGAATGACGCACTTCAACGACGACGACGACGACGAAGACGAAAATGACAATGAAGATGACGATGATGACGAGGACGTGGCCTTTATGGTTCTTGGAAATGAGAGTGAATTCGCGCGGGAAGAAGTTTCCGACTTGTCAATTCACACGACTGCCGGTGTTTCAAAAGAGAAGAACTGTGGAGAACACGTAGCTCATGCACAGTGAGATGAGGACTGAGGCCTGTTATCGACCCACCCGGACTCTGGAGGTCTTTCGAGCCCTCTCTCCGCCGAACCCTCCTCTTCCCACCCCATCCCCACCCCCGCCCTCCAGGAGCATCGCCATATTGCCTCTATATTACTTGAAACCTAGCTCGTACTTACAATTACAATAGCTGATGAGGAACTGCGTGATACATCGATCGTAATTGAAAAATCAACTATGATACTTATTACATGATCTTCAGGAATTTTTTTTAAAGAAATGAGTTAATTTATTAATTTATTACAAAACTTCCTTAGACTTTATTATGTTGAATGTATGTATTTAAAAATATTTTTTCGTGTCCATATATAACATATAAAAAAAGATATGCAGCGGCATTAAAAAGATTAATATATTGTAAATTACATACTATTACTGAAATTAAAATACATGGGAAAAATCGGAAATTATTCAAAACGACAATGTTTCGAAAAAAATATTGATTTTTCACTCACAAATTTAATTCGTTTCTTTATATAATAAAATAGAATAATTATAAATAAAATTCCATAGTCCAGTAATAACGTAACTCTTACAATTTAATAATTTCTTCGGCTTTTTTGTTTTAGGATTACTATAAAATGAATCATGTCAACGCGACACTTTTAATACGTCTTGCAAATTTTTTTTATACAATATGATACACATATGGACACGAAAAATATTTTTTAATATCTATCTTGTACGTAAATGGAGTAAGAAAATTTTATATAATAATTTATTTTTTCTTAATATTCAATTAATTTTTTAGTCTTCCAAATGAGAATATATATATATATATATATATATATATATATATATATACATATACACACACACACACACACCCTCTTAATTAAATCACTTCTTAAAATCTGTTTTAACAAATCTTTAAAGTCTGTTTTACCAACTGAATGCGATTATTATTCAGGACACTTTTTCTAATTGCCTTCATCAGATTTAAAAATTCTTTTCCACATATAAAATAAAGTATAAACAATAACACAGTCCAAACCGGATGACTTTATGCTGGAAAAAAATTTTTTTAAAATTTAAATCTGTTTTATCCGTTCTTATTAATCCAAAATAGCTACGTCTAGAGCTACCTAGCGGCTCTCTAATAAGAGTTTGGACATGGACTGCAGTTTTAACAAAATCGGCGAGAGAGAAGAACATTTATTATAACTATTTCGCAACTAGGATACGTTGTGTTACATTGTAATGTAAAGTATTACGATTTTATTACAATTTATTAAAATTTCATGAAAATTTCATTATAATTCATTAATATGTATTTTAAGATTTCATTACACAATTCATTAAGATTTTATTAATAATTCAATACAACATATTGTTATATTTAGTATGAATATAATTTAGATAAAAGGCTGTAAGAGTCAAATGCTAGTTAATAGAGCGCAGGAAGCTTTCTTGTGATTTTATTCTTTCACATATATATTAAGATACCTTACAATGCGGACGTTTCGGCTCCAATTCGGGTCAACTTCAACTCAGAATTATACAACCTCTAATTGATTCCTAACAGACATTCTTCACACTCCAATTAATCGTGGCAATTACCGTTCTCTCATGAAACATTTTCCAATGTTCATCAGCGTAAACTGATTAAGAAATTAAATTGAACGGTTAAACAATACCTATTATTTAAGATATTTATTTAAGACACAGATTGCATTTACCAACGACCCTTTATCACCCTAGAGTGTGAAAAAGATAAAAAACAATAAATCAAATGTAACAATAAAGTAATAAATGATATAATAAAACACATATTGAAAGTACAATACGAATCAATAATTAAAATCAAGTAAAATCTCATTTCGGCTATTTTCTTTGTCGGGTGCAAAAAATGTATTGATTAGTCCGATGATTTCTGGTCAAATAGTTAGCAGTTCAAAATGTCAAACAGTATAATTACATAAACAGGTCCGATGTTAATATATAAAGAGACATAAATGTGTGATTAAAAGCACAACGCAAAAGCATGTGTCGCATTAGAATGATGTTAAAATTTACTTAGAAATGCTTCATATACCTGATACAAAAATTCTGTATCAAATTATAAATTTAAGGCTTCTGAATAGTTATCATAGCCATATTGAATCGTAACAGAAGAATCGTAATCAGAAGCGAGAAAAATGACACGTTAATTTTTGTTACGTGCTATTTGTAAAATAAAGACAATTTGGATGAAACAAAATGATGAGATAATTTTAAAACAATTGTAAAAATGGACGAAAGCTATCCTTATCTACCCTGACAGTAAATAATTATAAAACGTGATAAAAGGTACATGAAGTGCTTTTATTCAATTTACGCATACGTAGTCTATTTACACTTTTACATTCCTTTTATCGCTTTTTATGATTCCATTTGATTTAAATATTTCTATAAATAAAATTTCTGCTATAATAAATTCTACTACTAACGCATCTAATACCGATTTATTCAGAATTTTTGAATACGACAAAAAATACTCAAATGTTATGGAATAGACAATCAAATATCGTAACATGTTGATACACAAGTTACGTTTGAAGCTATCTATAATCACAATACATATTCAACGTTAACTTTATTATATGTTCACGACTTATTGATGAATGAAAAAAACTCAATTTCATGACGGTCATGATCTTGACATTCGATTAAAGCACGTATGTAATGCGACGAATTATGATCGTTTCTTTGCGATGAGACATATATCTGTTATTGCTTGTATTCAACCTCTCAGCTACAAATAAATGTTTCTTTCAATTATTAATAGACAAAAAATAAATTGCTTATTAACTTTGATTGTACAATGAAAATGTAACTACATACGCAAGTATATATGCGTGTGTAACGCGATTTAAAAAAATTCATAATATAAAATTAAATAATATAATTTTAAAATTTATATTTAAAAAGTTCACGAGAATTTTTTAAAAATTACAAAAATAGAAATAGTAATTTTGGCGAAAGAGTATCTCGACAAGAGATTACAAAATGTAAATGACATAATTTAAAGAAGTCATGCGTCGAATGATAAATATGACTACATTGAAGATAAAAAGGGACACATGGTGGGGTTGAGAAAAAAATGTTTCTCATATCATGGTGGGGTTAAAAATATGTTTCTGAAGTATAATAACAGTAAAGTCGTCGAGCTATGTCTAGTCTTTACTTGACTACGGTTTGTGTTGGATACATTTTTACCATTTCTTTTTATTATGATTTCGTGGATACATGTTTTCTTTCATTTTTAGTGAAGTTATTTTGTATTAATCGCGTTCAAGAACCAAACGAAAGCAGATCAGAAGAAAAAAGGAATTAAAAAAGGTTTGAAAATGCAATCGTTTTTATCCATAAATATTTACAAAGAACTAATTTTCTATGAAGAAATAACTTTACAAATAAATATTTAATTTAAATGAATTTGATTATTTATTCATATTAAATATTCTGTTAATTTTCTGTATGTATTTATAAATAAATAGTTACATGTTGCATAAATTATTAAGAGTAATCTTTTCCTTTTCTAATAGTTTATAAATTACATTATTTAAAATTATACACTATATTTGTTTATTTAAAAATTATACATTTAAAAAATATCTTAATTAAAAAAAAAATTTTAATGGATTTAAAAAAATAATTTTTTTTTAACACACGAGCAATGACAATATTTATTTGAATCTTGCAGTATATTGTGTAAATTATAAATATACAATGAGACTCCAACAGATAAAAACTGGCTTGTGTTAATTTCTTTGCGAGATTAAATGTAAATTAATACAGATTTTTCTGTAAAAAATAAGATTAAGTTTACTAAATTATTAAATAAATTTAATATCTTTTTTAATATTTTAATATTTTTTTACAGAAATTTAATATTTTTTCAAATATTTTTTAAACATTTAATTTTTCTTTTGTGTTGATAATAATATTACACATAAATTTTATTAATTATTGTAGTCGCTTTTATAATTTTATAATTTTCAAAAATGTTAATGAAATTCGAACAGAGATTTAAGATTTTAGGGTAGTAAATCTAATACTCTAACGTTGAACTATATAAATCGGATATACATATAGCTCGCAAGCATTATTTGTCTTTGTTAATATTTGATAAACAACAAGGACATTCTGAGCTTTGCGAGTGTCAAATAATCGCACGTTTCTTTATCAATTTGATATTCGATAGTTATTCAATTAAATTCTCGCAAAA